CAACATCAGATTTACTACATCCTGCACAGTAACCTCGCATTTCCCCGGAACAGCTTCTGAGAACACGCGTTCTAAAAGATCCACATCAGCGATCCCATTGAAGACTCCACTGGCATGAAATTCTGTTGGGATGAGCTCACCAACGAAACTGCAACAGAACCACTGGGGGTTCGTAATTACAAGTGGCATCGGCTCAAACCAAATAACTTGCCCGATGTCATGGAGATACCTCGCCATGACTTTCAGGAGCCTACAGTTGAAATCCAACTCAATCTGACAAGGTCCTGGTTGTTCTTCGCTGAGAATTCTCTCTTGATACCGGCTTGCAAAGACTCCTGTCCAGCAGATTTCACAAAATTTGGTCCAAGATATAAGGGGAATCGTTGATAGACTGGACTTCACCACCGAGGTTTGCACTCTCTCCATGATTTGCAGCACATTGGTGTTGTGAAGAAGATCCTTGGCCTTACTGAACAAGAACTTCTTGACCCTTTTTGCATCGCCATTCCTTCTGGCATCGATAAGGATTACCTTGTCCGTAATATCAAGTGTCTCTTGAAACTCCTGAGATATCCGGCGGACCACCTTACCAGTACGAGGGTAACAATCATACAACTTTTGCTTCTAAGTCAAGTGGGGATTGCATACTGGAATCACACAAGGCTTCCTTTCGGCTTTGCAGTTTGTCGCGATGAATCTCAGCCAGTACCTCAGTCGTTGAAGAAGTTCATCCCACTGTCTCTTCTCAACTTCCACAGCTGCCGAGCTGTCTCCACTTGAGTTGCCACTGCTTACTTGCTCACATTCGATCACCGGATTAAATAGAAGCAAGAAGATGGGTGGAACTGCCATGTCCCCTCCTAGAGTTGGCATGAACAGATCATGGATGGTGTGGTACTCAGGTTGTCCACCCAAGTCCCAGAACTGGATGTTGACCCCTTTCGATGCGACATGGACCACCTCAATGCCCTTCGTTCGAGGTTTGGCAGGCCGATCACCAGGTGTCATCTGCTTCATCTTGTCTATCCAGTACTCCAATGTTCCACGGCAAATCGAATCCTTCAAGGTCGACTTACCCACATGAGGTTCACCCGCCAAAAAGCATCTGATGTGGCTGCTGGTAGTGCGTTCCAAGCCTCCACCAGCCTCAAGCAGTTGACGCTCATGCCTGTTTCTTGACAACTTACGATCAATAACTCTGTCAGATCTCCGATTGAAAGCAAACTCCTGAAGTGTCTTATTGGACTCCAAGGTAGAGAGCATCTCTGCCCTTAATTCAGATGGGAGTGTCCTAAATAGGTTGTCAGATTCAAAATTCAGCGTTTCTAGACAAATATTACTCCGCAACCCTTTCACAATCGTTTTCATGTCCCACTCACAAGTCCCTTCTTCAAAACTACTAATTTCCAGTTTCTTAAGAGTGTTGTTTGTTTTCAGCATGGCTGCAAAGGCATCTGTTGCATCCTGCCTAAAATCTGATGTGTGGAGGGTCACATCTTTGAGTTGAGATCTTCTTCGCACTCCCTGCCCTTGGACCCCACTTTTCATTTCCAGGGGTGTGACCAACGGTTCTGCAGGAGCGCCACCATCAAAGCCTATGTCCATAGATGCAAGGCTTTTGGCTAAAGTGGTGAGTACCCTTTCCGGAACAAACCCAAGCTCGCAAGACTGTAGGCTCTCACTAGCCAGCAGACCGTGGACCATGTTGACAGACATTACTTGACAACCTTCACTTCCCTTGCACTCAAAAAAGTTGAGTTCCAGCTTTTCTAAAGAATGGGCATTGGAAATCATACCTTGAATCAATGCAGCACACTCAATCCCAGCTCTGTCTAAACGGATGCCAAGGCATTTAACCCCACAGTAGGGCTGCTGAAAAAAATCAGAGAGAATTCGCAAAAAACGGGCAGGTTGATCCAACTCACCCAGACCGCTGATTTGGATTTCTTCAAGGGAAGCAATGGAGACCGCAAAAAACGGGCAGGTTGATCCAATTGAGGATAATGCTTTTGCAAGAGACCTCAGAAAACCCTCGAGAGACCTCAGAAAACCCTCGATGACCAATATACTCGGATTGTTGGAACGGGGCACCGATGATTTTAAAATATAGGAAAAACTGAATTCAAAGTACTTAAATGAGCCGATGTGCTCGACTATTACGCTCAGCATATGCAGCCACAACTCCGGTATCCTACCAAAGGCATCGTCACCTATTGAAACCACAACCCGATCAAAACAACTTTCGAAACTGAAGCCATAAAAACGTGTTTGATTGGCTACGAACTCCTCAATAGCCAAGCGGGCATGATCCATTAGCTTCTTGTCATGTTCCTCGGATAATTGTTTGGGTGTCAAAAAGTCACCCATGTCCATAGCTGCACAGTGTGAAGTATCCTCCAAACTTTTTCCTTAGTATTTTGAATCCGAAGCCAAAGCAAAGAACCACCGTCTAAGCGTGTGGGCACCGGTAGAGTACTGTCAGACTGACACCTTCAGCCCCACATAGCTGGAGAATCAAGCATTAATCTCGTCCTGTAATACCAGCACGTACAGCTGCCTAGCACTCTTTCTCACACTAAGAAGATTGTTGCCACGGTGTTGCATAGTTTTCCGTAATCTGGCAATTTGTTTCTATCGCTTGTCTCAAGGAAAAGGATCTCTCCAAAGAGGACTGACAAGAATAAAGTTATAGAAGTCAGTACACGTCACTCACGCCGTGTGCCCCACACTCTAAGAGTACTCTCCACAGATTGCCTGCTGTGACTATCACAACACGGAAAGAAAAGATGACACGAAATTGATCTGATAAACTGCTCTAGAAGGGAGAAACGTGGTAGGACTGGCACAGKCTGTGGCCACCCAACCTCGTGACGATGAAGGGTACACTACTACACACACACAATTTTGCTAATAAACAGACATGAGGTTGAATCCTGATGGGATCAAAAGAATACAATAAGGTCTCTTAACGCCTTTCACAAGAAAGGATTTATTCAGGGAAAAAAAAGGTTTAGAAAACCCAGGATGAGGTTGAGTGAGCTGTCTGTCTAGCCATGCTAAAAGACTGGCAAATCCGAAGTCAAGATTATTTTCAGCATTTGACTAATCTACAGCTTCCGACTCATCTCTCCTTCCTGCATTTCCGAGTAGTGGAACAATACCTGCGCACGCATGGAAAGCACAAAACGACAAGGGTGATCACAATTAGGTRGTCTAAGACAGGAAKACACTTCTGAGAAGTCTGTGTGTGAATTACCGCTAGGTGTTAYCCTGCAGCCACKGCTTCTACCGTCCTCACCGAGATAGAATGCCCGCTAATCATTATYGCGGTATCTAGACTGAAAGTTGCCTCAAATACAGCTATAATGACCGGGCATTGGTTTTTGATTCCGATGAAGACAGTGACTCAGTGACTGCAGTCCTGGACTTGGTTTGGTTTGCAAGTCCAAGGGTTTACTTTGRTTTTTGATCCAGACCAGGCCAGGCATTCCAAATCAACCGGCAAGACCTACACTACCCCATGCGTCCACACTGGCCCCTTCCTTATTGAATGTGCAGAAGTTCTGAGACTTTGACATATTTTCACTGCCCCCGCCCACCCCCCCCGGGTTTCCCAACCCCACCTGACCCCAATAAGAGAAAACAAAAAACTTAATTAAAACTCATTCTCTCATTGTCTTTTATTTTAATCATAAAAGAACTTACTTTTGAGCATTAGATTTCGTTGGGATTTGGAAGTCATTGAAGTGCTTCAAAGCGTAGATTGAACAATTTTTTGATAGACTAAGTGAGCTCCTCACCAATGGAAAGGAGCCACCTCAACGTCCAAAAATACAGAAAAAAAAAAAAAAAAACGTTCATCGTTCCTAATAAATTCGACAAACGAAAACAACATTTCACATGCAGCAACTGTTTGACATGTTTATATTCCTGAGTTACTTGGGGCCGGTCGGCTCAATGATGATATCTGGAGGCCGTCGCACTTTTTTTCCCCTAAAATATTTATTTTATTTCTCCATTTGATTCCCCGGTCAGGATAACTTTGACTTCTCTTCTAACTCTCTGTCTGTCTGTCTCTTCTCC